ATATCTTTGAGTTTTACGCTATTGAAAATTATTTTTTTGATAACAAATCTTTTTAAAATTAAATAAAACAGTGGCGCGAAATATGAAAGTTGGAAAAAAAAGAATTTTTAATTAAAAATTTATAATATGATTGTATTCTGCAGACTGTTAAAAATAATTCAAAATAGATATTTTTAATTTTATTATTATTTTTTGTAAGTATTTAAATTTTCGGAAATATGTAATTAAAAATATTGAAAATAATATAATTGAATTTTAGAAAAATTATAATAAAAAAATTCTAAGAATTACACTTTTTTCAAAATTATTTTAATATAATTTTTAGAAGCTAATTGTCATTAATTTACATTCTTTTAATTTACACTTGAAGATGTATCATTGAAATTTTTGAATGATTTGTCTATAGTGCTTTTTCATAGGCACTATAAAAATTAAAATAAGTTGCATTTTATACTAAAAATGTTGTAGGTATTTTGTTGCAATATTTGGAAGAAAAGACGAAAAAGTCGCAATTTTTAAAAATAAGTTGGAAAAATACCCATTTTTTAAAAACAGTAAAAAAAAGTCGAAAAAATTGCAATTTTTTAAAATAAGAGTAGAAAAAAGTCGAAAAAGTTGCCATTTTTGAAAGTAAGTCGAAAAAAGTTGAAATTTTTGAAAATAAGTCGAAAAAAGCCATAATATTCGAGGCTTGATAATAATATATCCCTAAAGTTCTGAAAGTACAAATAAATTAATAAAAATAATAAAATATTAAAATATTTTTATATAAATGACCAAAGTTGACAAAAAACAAGCAAGTCATTAAATATTGGTCGAAAAAAAAATCAACATCAATAATAAATTTAATACTAATTAGGTTAAATGAATAAAATAAATGAATAAATTAAATGAATAAAATTCAGTAGTAAATTTAATTCTAATTATATTCATAAATGATTGATATTTAGCCAATTTTATTAAAAATAGTATTTTTCATTTTTTATACCATTTTATATTTTTCAATAAAAGTTCCCAAAAAAGGTCAATTTGCTTTCTTAAATAGGTTTTAGGTTGATTATATTATTTTCAAAGTTACATAAATATTTTTAAAAAATAATGCAAAGCAGTATAACAAGCAGTAAAGTTTTTTAAAAAATTCCAATTTTATAGTGTAAATTTTAAACTATTAATAAATTAATAGTAGAAGGCTCACTACTACCTCAAACAATTTGTCTCCAAAAACTCTACAAAAAGAAAGGAAAGGAAAAAAAAAACTTTTCTCCTAATTTTTAAAATGTCAAAATAATTTCGAAAAGAATAACTGTAGAATATTCGTTAATCCTAGTTCAAAAGATGCTTCTTAAAAAACTTAACAAGATTGAAGAAAAATATTTATAGTTATCAATATACATTTTTTTAAAGTTATGGGCAAAAAAGATATTCAGAAAACTATTGTTAAATGCTAAAAAAAATTAAGCACCATTTTAACTATAAAATATTAATTATTATAATACTATTATTAATTATTATAAATAATAATAATATTATTAATAAAAATAATAATAAAGATAATAATTAAAATAATAATGATTATATAATTGTTTGCAATGCTAGCAATAAACTAAATAAATGTATTAAAACCGACAATATAGTTACGCACAAATTGTCATATTAAATTTTTCGAAAAAGAGAGATAATGGATTTTGATAATACGATATTTGAAATTTAACATAATGACTATTATTTATATATACGTGATAAATTTTATACATTATTAAATTTATGTGCGGGTGTATTAAATTTAATATCCTTGAATTATCGTTGTAATAAAATATTTTTAAGTATAATAATTACATTGGATTACTATAAAAATTAATATTTAACTGCAATTTTCTGTCGAACTTTTTAATTTTAAATTAACAAAAAAATAGTTTTAAATAATTCTTTAATAAACAGTCTTACTGCTTTTCAAGACAGAATTATTAGTTTGAATATTTGATTAATTTCAACAGCTGTCAATAATTGCTTCATTTCAAATGAATTGGTAATTGTTATAACTAATTATCAGTCATAAGTATCATCTTAGATATTTATTAATTAATTTTTGCTGCCAAAAGTCAATTAACATTTTACTAACAATTATAGTTTATTTTAAATTTATTTCAATTAGTAAACTTGAACTATTTTCTTAGTTATTTATTTAATAATAATTATTTTATTCATTTAAATTAATTATTTTTTACTAATTTCTGCAGCAAAAAGTCGATTAAGATTTTACTAACAATTATATATTTAACTAATTCAGATTGAATGATTACTATAAATGTAAGTTATTTTATTATAGATTTAATAACTTACCTTTAGTAATAACTAACTTTCAGTAACTTTACTAAATGAATTAGTAGTTTTTTCTAATAATTATGTGTTTTTTTTATTAATTATAGTTTTTTCTATAACAGTTATTAGTATCCGTTTCTTTTAGCAGCTAGTCATTTTTTATTATGAGAATAAATAAATAATAAATATAATAATATTATAATAAATAAAAATATAGTTATAATAATTCATTTGACGAATGAATTGTTTCAGTTGAATTAGTCAGAAGTATAATTAATTTAGATATAGAGAGTAGTTTTTCTACTTTCCATTATTTCAAAATTTTATTAATTTTATTAATTTTATTTTATTTGCCTTCAAACAAAAAATGATTTTTTTCAAAATTCATACTTCTGTTTCCATTAGAACCGAAAACTAAATTTTTATGGATTTCTTTAAACCCTTAAAAATTTTTTAAAAATAGTGTCAGAAATAATAATAATAGTAATGTTTTTAATTTATAATGTTTTTTCTATTATCATTTATGCATTTTTTAAATTCTTAGACCTCAGTTTTAAATTTGATGATAAAAATGTTTGTACACTTTTGTCTTTAGTTTTAGGTTAAAATTACTTCACGATATTTAATAATATTTTTATACATATTAAAATTATCCTAAAGGAAATTTTAATGCACATTAAAATAAAGCTGAGAGCCTAATATTTATACTTTTCCCATTTCAAAAGTACTTTTCGAAAAAATCACCCAAACAAAAAATTTAAGTTTTTAATTTTTATTGCAATCATTCGTCCATAGAAATATTTTTAACAAAAAAATATTTCGTTCATTTAAATAACGCTCAGAACATAATGTGGATCATGATATTAACGTTTTTATTCGTTTTCGGAGATCTGATATTTTGAATTGCAATCTAGCTTTATTCCTAAATCAGCGAGCCCTAAAATCCGTAAGAAATAAATTTTATGACAATCGAAAAGATTTTAAATTTTTGCGTCCGCCATATTGGATCTGCCATTTTGAATTTTTAAAATCTGACTTCATATTCGTAATCAGTGACCTCGAAAACCCCTGAGTAACAAGTTTTGTGACATTCTGAGGAATTTTAAATTTTCGCGTCTGCCATATTAGATCCGCCATTTTGAATTTTTGAAATCTGACATCATATTCATAATCAGTGACCCCGAAAACCCCTCAGTAATAAGTTTTATAATGTTCCGATGGATTTTTAATTTTCACGTCCGCCATATTGAATCCGCCATTTTGAATTTTTTAAATCTTACTTCAAATTCGTAATCAGCGAGACTAAAAATTTTAATTGTATACATATATTTCAAAGAATAATATCGTTTCTTTAAAAGCACGTGACCCAAAGGGTTATTTTTAGTTTTATTCTTATTTGTATAAAATATTATTATTACTCACGAACCAAATAAAATGGAACAACAAAATCAAATCTTCTCTATAGAAAAAAAATTTTATATTTTTAACAGTTAATTTTGATTATAACTCTAATTCTCACTTTTGAATATAAAATAAACTATAGTTTTAATAGAAAAAACGGTACCTACAATTAAAAAATTAATTAATTAAAAAATTGAAGTTCAAAAGCAGCACTTTCAGAAAAATTACCCATTCATTTATTTCTTTTTTACTTTCTAAATTTGAATCAATTAAAAATCATAGTTTTAGCTGAAAATCAATGACTGACTTTATGCTTCGGAATCAGTTAAAAATAACTGATTTTCAGTAAAAAAAAAAAATAACTGAAAAATTAGTTGAACTTGACTAATTTATTGAATTAGTTGAAAAAAATCTACTGAAACATCAATAATTTTTAACTGACAATCAGTTAATTTTAATTAAATAATCAATAGAAGACTTCACATTTTTAATTAAGAAATTTATAAAAATATTTATATTGAAAAAGTATTTCGTTCATTTAAATATTCAAAATATTTGGAACCTATATTATTATTATTAATAGTAATGATAATAAAATAATAATGATAATATAATAATAATAATAATAATAATAATAATAATAATAATAAAATTATAGTAATAAGAATAATATAATCATTATATTAACTGTTGTAATTAGCATCAGTTATGATATTGTAGAACTAGTGTTTATATGAATAATATTATAATTATAATATTATTAATAATAAATAATAGTAATAAGAATAATATAAATAATAACTGTTGTACTTAGCATCAGTAATAATAATCTAGAACTAGTGTTTATATGAATAATATTAGTTAATGAAGTTGAAGTTATTTATCAATGAAAGTTAACGTAGAGTAAAAAATAATAAACATAATAAAGTATTTCAAAAATTATGTATTAAAAATACAAAAACGCAATTTTTTCCAACATGAGGAAAATGTAGAACCAAAGAAAGATATTTCTAAATGAAAGAAGATCGAGGTTAATTGAAGATAATCTAATTAGAATGTATAAAACTCACTGATTTTAAAGCAGCGAGTATTTATGGTTCGTCGAGAACCAGTGTTGTTTATAATAAGTAGTAAAATATTAATAATAATAATACAGTATTATTAATAATAATCACTAACTAATGGTAATGATGATGATAATAATAATAGATGTAGTAATGATACTAATAGTCATAATAATAGAGAAGAGAATAGAAGTTCATCTCATCGTTTATTCATACCTGAAGAATTATCTCCTGCAAGTTGTGTGACACGCGGTGGTTTATAGGTCCTTTATATTATATAAAAAATTGCAATAACGAAACAAATTGATCAGCTAGATGGTGAATTGATATTATGTCCCGAGGCATAACGAAGATGTATAGTAATGGAATCCAGGAATTGATTTGCTCCAATGAAATAAACACGCGCGTTTCACTTGGAATTGAAAAGTCATGTGAAAGATAATTGACGGAAATGACAATGACGACAACAACAATAATAATGATGATGATGATAATGATGACATGTTCGCGAAAGAAATGGGGAGAGGGTGTCAAATAATAATTGTGAGGTTAGGCCATCACTGTTTGTTACTAACACGCGAGGCATGTACTGGTTCATGTACGCATATGGAGAATGGAGAAGCAGTGAGGAGGACAAAACTTCCATGGCACAGAACCTTCCGCGCAACTTCGCGGAAAATCGGAAGTGGAGGACCTTCTTTTGCAGCTGCGCAACGCTATTTGAACTCTACTCTACTCTCGCTCTTTCTCTCTTTCTCAGTATACATATATAGGGTTCATTTATATCGTTTCCTCGTGTATATTATGCTTTTTCTTTAGCGGAAAAGGATCATAATAAGAGCAACAAAGAGTTAGCATGAGGGGTTAAAGAGGATGGCCGGGAGAAAGAAAAGGATGAAACAGAAGAAAATAATGTGCCACACGACGCCTGATTATTAATCATCTTTTCAAATTGTACGCCCTTAGTGTTATATAGTGCATTTCTCTCTTTCCTGTACTCTCTTTATCTTGATAGGACCTAGATACCTATATAGGATCTTAATTTAGTTATTGTACAGCATGATCTGCAATAATGATTTTGCATTTTGTTATAGGTACAAAAGCTTTGTCAGGTGACAAATGATGTACCTGCAAACAATGTGTGTCAGACTAAACACACATCATTGAAGAATCATTACTAAACTTGCAATTATCCCCTGATGATATGTCACTTAAAGTACACTGTAAAAAAAGGGAGTTAAATTTTAACTCCCCCGGGGGGTCTATAAAAGTCGCACCCATTGGAGAGTTAATGCCAGGGGAGTTAAATAAAGAGAGTTAAAATTTAACACCCAAATTCTAACTCCCCAAGGAAAAAATAACTCGCGCGGGTGTTGAATGAAGGGAGTTAGAAATTAACTCTCTTTTGGAGTTGATTTTTAACTCGAAAAATTTCACTCCCGAGTCCGTTAACTCCCTAAATTTTTTACAGTGTAGTAGGTTTTGCTGCACCAACACTAAAGCTTTAGAAACATTATCCGAGCATCTTGAAAGTATGCTGTATTTAAGATGATATAGCTTGGTCCATATTTATAGCCTACCCACACAACTACTCGTATTGATCAAATTTTCTCAATATTCGAGATCTAACACTGTTTTAGATTTGTGTAATTATATTCTAATTTTGAAAATTCAAAGTTGGTATTTATGATTTTCATAGAAACGAAAAGGTGTATTTGTTTCTCTCTTTAAAGCTGATGCTGCAATTGAGATGACACGAGGTCGACCATTTACACAAACTTTCTCAGAGAGCACGTAATTTTGCAGCTAACTTGTAACAAGCCTGGATTGCATCGTAAGCTTGCTGCAATATCGTAATAAGATTTCCGCAAATCTTGCGACAATTGCTGTAAGCTTGCTGCTTAAAATTTTATTTTATGGTACAGGGTTGCCACGCTTTTGCTCCTTTCAAAACTACATTTATATTTTACAAAATTAAATAATTGGTAGTCTTGTCATTATAATGTTTCCATAATTAAGAATTAGGATTTTCAAAAATTTCAAATTCAAACCTTTTTGTAATTAAACAACTTATAGAAAATTGTTATAAAACATAAAGAAATCGATCACTCCGAGTCTTCGACTCGGAACAATCAATATCTTCATGTTTTCTAATAATTATAAAAATGACCGACTGATAAAATAATTTTATATTATAAGAATATACTGTAACTTATTCAAAATTACTTTTATCACTTTAATTAAATTATTGTTTTCCAAAATTTTTAACTAAAATTCTTCTTTAAATTAATTATTCATTCATTTTTAATAATTTTTGAAAAATTTCTTTGAAAATGTTCAAATCCTTTTGATTACAATTAAATTTTACGAAATTTCATCGATTATTCGGAAATTCTTTAATCAAATATATATTAGAAAAAAAAACTTCAAATAACTTAAAAAAATTCAATTAAATATTTTCAAAAAAATTAAATCTACACAATTTTTAGTTAAAAGTATAGAAAATTCAAACATTCAAAGATTATAATTTGAAACCTTTTCAAAATTCAATTATTTCTAAAAATTCACGCTATAATACTTTCTCTCTAAATTTAAATTAGTAAAAATGTTTACGAATTGGAATTAATGACTGATTTTTTGCTTTTGAATTAGTAAATTTTACTATTAAATTAGTTGTAACGACTATTTATTAGTAAAATCTGCTAATTCAAAAGCAAAAAGTCAGTCACTAATTCAAATTGAGGGCGTGGAACGGATAACTGCCTGCAACGCATGGTCGAAAGGAAGTATGCCATTACCAGTCAGACAATAGTGAGCGCCTCTAGGCCTCTCACTAATGTCTGACTGGTATAGTCCCTTTCGACCATGCGTTACAGGCAGTTATCCGTTCCACGCCCTCAATTAAAAAACATTTTTACTAATTCAAATTTAGAGAGTTTAATATTCAATTATTATCTATAATTTTAACTGAAATTCATATTTAAATCAATTTTTATTAGAAAATTTTACGAGAATTCAATTATTTAAATACAAAAATAAATAATTTATTGAAGAATTGAATGTTTTTTAAAATTCAACTCTCATTTAAATAATTTTATCAACAAATTTTTAAATAGGTAATTAAAATTCTTTTTACGAATTTCAATAAAATTTTTAAGAATAATTTCATTTTTCGAGCAATCATATTAAAATTGTACTAAAAATAATTGAATCTCTGTAAAAAATTTTATTGAATTGAGAAAAGTTTTTGAAAACAATTAAAATTTTGCCAAAAATTTTATTAAAAACTTTGAAAATAATTGAATTTTGGAGAAAAATTTTATTAAAATTTATAAAGATAATTGAAATTTTTACGATAATTTTTTTAAACTTTTGACCATAATTGAATTTCTGCGAAGAATTTTATTACTTTTGAAAATAATTGAATTCTTATTGAGACGAATTTTAATATTTCTTTTAACAGAATTGTTAGTTAAAAATATGAAAAATTAAGATTTTCTATTATTTTAATTTAAAACCTTTTTAAAATCAATTATTTCCAAAAATTATTTCTATTTCACGCTATAATGCTTTTAATATTCAATTATAATGAAAATTTTTAACTGAAATTCATATTTAAATCAATTTTTATTAGAAAATTCTACTAGAATTCATTTATATTTAAATACAAAAATAAATAATTTATTGAATTTTTGAATGTTTCTTAAAATTGATTTCTGATAAAGAATTTTACCAATAAATTTTTAAATGATTGAATTAATTTGACGAATTTTAATAAAATGTTTAAGAATAATTTTATTTTTCGAGGAATTCGATTGAAATTGTATTAAAAATAATTGAAATTCTGCGATGAGTTTATTTATTATTTATGAAAATAATATTATATTCCTAAAAAGAATTTTATTATTTACCAAAATAATTGAATCCCTGTAAACATTTGATTATTTATGCGAAAATAATTGAATTATTGCGAAGAAATTTATAAAAAATTTGTAAATAATTGAATTTTGGTGAGAAATTTTATTATTTATATAAATAATTGAATTCTGAAGAGAATTTTTTGTAACTTTTGACTACAATAAATTATTAAATTTCTGCGAAGAATTCTATTACTTTTGAAAATAATTGAATAATTCTTATTGAGACGAATTTTAATATTTCTTTTTAAATAATTGAATTCTTGTAACGATAGCATTTAAAAAAAAAAAAAAATGTCATTAAAATTTTTGAAAATAATTTAATTCTTTCAAGAAATTTAATTAAAAATGTATTGACAATAATACTTAAATTCTAATAAATAAATTATAGGAAGGGTTTTTAAAATAATAATTGAATTTCTTTGATGAATTTTAATAAAAATTTTAAGAATAATTACATTTTTCGAGAAATTCCATTAAAATTGTATTAAAAATAATTGAAATTTTGCGATGAGTTTTATTATTTATGAAAATAATTGAATCTCTTTAAAAAATTTGATTAGAATTTATGATAGTAATTGAATTATTGCGAAGAAATTTATAAAGAATTTGTAATTAATAGAATTCCTGCGAAATTTTTCTTATTTAATTAATTCATTCAAAATAGAAATTTTACAAAATTGCAAATTAAAACCTTTTGAAGTTTATCTATTTATGAAAATATTGTAAACGCAACTCTTTTAAAATTGAATTAATTTTGAAATATTTAAGAAAAATTTGATTTCAAGAATAAGCACAATAACTTTAGAAAACAATAATTTTCCAGGATTTCGATGAAAGTTCTCTGACTTTTCCAGGCTTTTTCAAGGTTTATAAAATTCTCTGACATTTCCAGGTTTTCCAGGTTGCGTGGCAATCCTGTATTAATACACAGATAGCATGAGAGTTTACATCAAGGCAAGATTGCAATAAAGCATACCGCAAGCTCGCCATAAGCTCTCGTGCTATCTGGATAATTCAATAGAAAATAATTATTTGCAACTACGATCTACAGTAAAAATAAAAATTCTAACCATCAGTGCAAGTGAAGGAAATAAAAAAAGAAGACAATTTTTTTTCGTTTTGGCAGCACTGAGATGACCTCTTTAGAAACTCTAAACGCTATAAAAAATTCATATTCTCTGGATGCACTGTTAACAATAAATCAAAATATTACTTTTTCCGAAAAATTGTTATAATAGTATTATATAACCTTGTTGATAGAGCAATAAAACTTTCACATAAAAAATTATGCCATAAAAACATTGAATTTGTTGAAAAAATACTTTAATAAGAGGTGGATTTCTTTTCGACATTTTAAGCATTTTTCACAAATTAATCTAATTCTCATAGAGCACCAAAAATTTGTCACTATACCCAAACAGTAACGAAAGTTTCCTAATAGTTAAAATTACCCTGACTTTCACCTTCGGAATCTTTAATTAAATTAAATTAAAATTTAATCTTTAACTGAATTTTAATGAAACTCTTGAAATTTTGAGCAAGTTTTTAAATGTCCAATGATTTACATTGTTCGACTTAAAATTACTTAATTTACATGAACTTGAAAAAGAGTTTGAAGGAAAATGAAAACTAAAGATTCCGAAGGTGGCAGTCAAGTTAATTTCAAATTTCAAGAAACTTTCGATGCTGTGAGAAATATCTTTATTTACAAAACTAGGAA